CGTGGGGCTTGCCGTTTCCTGAGGGAGAAACTGAGGCCCGGAAGGGCAGCCGAGGGATACCGACAGGAACCTCGTCGCTCTCACGCACAGTTTTTAAATCGTAATATTAGTCGAAAAAATATTTTAATCTTGGTGTTAGGTGAAAGAGCCCAATACAAAATTTGTCTGAACTGAGTATGTGACACAGGCCTTGGCCGAACGCCCCTCAGTTGCTGTCGCCTGCTCGGCGCCCCCGCGTCTCGAGGGCAGAACGTCCTACTCGCCCAGGCCCACAGCCCCTTGTTTTAAGGCCCCGAGGCTGGCTGTGCTCAGAATCCCGCATTCCCGGCTTTCGGAAGGTCCGATACGGTGCGTATGTTCTGTGACCTGTCATGCCTTCAGCTGCGGTTGGGGCAGCGTCTGGTAATCAAATACATACCTATTTCCGCAGCTAAGTACATGCATATTTGCAGCAAAGGGGATAAAGAATAACCATGAACCATGTTCGTTGCTGACTGGGGGCGCTGTAGTTCCCGAACTGTGCTCTTGTGTCGTCGCCCCCCATCTCCAGCGCTGTGTGTCTGTCTCCTCGTGCCTTCTCAGCCTCAGTTTTCTCATCTGTAAGATGGAGTCGGTATGCCTCCCTTCCCCGCTTCTGGTGAGGAGTGAATGAATGAGACTGCCCGCAAAGCACTAACGGCCCACCTGGTTATGACTGAGGTTTGCGTTTCCCACAAACATTTCCATTTGAAAGTTACTTGACCACCTGTCTGTGGTTAGCTTCCCTCCCCAGGCCCTCTTTCTAGAGGCCACCAACTTTGCCTAAACCGGCAGGTCTGTGTCTTTCACCTGTGGCTCCCTCCCCTTTCCCCCCCAATTATAGCATTCTGTACTGTTCTACACTTCGTTCTTCTTGTTAGCATTTATTTTGGCTGTTACTGAACATATTTACGCAATTTCTTTCTCTGTTTAAGATGAGTAACGCACCTACAAAACTGTGAAAATGTTAAGTGTGAAGAATGAAAGTAAAATGAACACTCATACAACCCACCACCAAGTTAGGAAAACGAACATTTCCGTATGCTCAAAGCCACCATGAACCCTTTTGTCTCCTGGCCAAAGATAGCCACTACCCTATGTATCGTGACCCATTCTCCTGTTTTTCTTTGTGGTTTTTACTGTCGATACATCTCTAATGAATGCAATGCATGGTTTTGCTAAGTTTTGAAATTTGTATAAATGGGACCCTGATATATATTTTGTGTTCCTGATTTTTGCATATAAAACCACCCACATTAGATGCATCCATGTTGATGTCAGTACTTCACTGTTTTGGATTCCATTGTGTGATTATACATGTTTTATGCAGGTGTTCTTCAATTGATCGTCATTTATACTCTTGCTGGATTTTGCTGTTATGTGGTGCTCTTATTACATATTTCCTGGGGTAAATGTGGAAAAGTTTCTGTAAGGTATATACCTAATAGTAGATTTCTGAGGATATCCAAATTAGCTAGTAATATCAAGTTGTCTGAAGTGGTTGTACTCTACCAGCGTCAGGATTGTTAAGGTTATTGCCTATCCGGTGATTAAGACTTTAATCACAGTGGTTTTAATACTCATTTGCTTGGTGAAAAAGTTGAGCATCTTTTTCTTTTTATGTGTTTATTAATCATTTGTGCATCCTCTTCAAAAATTGCTCATTTTTCTCTTACAGGTATCTTCTTCTTATTTATAGGACTTCTTTATGTTTTGAAGATGAATCTTTTGTGGCTTAAATATGTTTCAAATAACTTCCAGATTGTAGCTTGCCATCTCTTTCTCTTTGCCACTATGGATTTTTTGGTGGACAGAGGTCTTTAATTTTGACAAGGTTGAATATATCAGTATCTTCCTTTATGGTTTGTATTTTTCATATTTTATAAAGAAACCCTTTCCTACCTTTGGGTCATAACGATATTCTCTATATTTTCATCCAAAAGCTTATAGTCTTTTCTTTCTTATGGCCTTAATCCTTAAGAATAGATTTTTGTGCACAATGTGAGGTAAGGGTCTATCTCCCCCTGCCCCCCCTCCCCCCCCGCCCATATAGACAATCAGTTGCTCTGGTACCTTTTATTGGCAAATTTGCTGTGATCTGGAGTTCCATTTCTCCAACATGTCAAGTATCCATACATATATAAGTTTCTGAGTTCTCTATTCTGTTCTATTGGTCTTATTCGTCCATTTGTTTGCCATTATTCATTACTCTAGCTTTAAAATAAGTTGGTACCTGGTAGGACCAGTCCTCCTGGCTTTGTCTTCAAGAATACCTTTGCCATTTTGCATTTGTTTTCTTTTTAAATTTTAACGTTATCTTGTCAAATCACGCATAGAAACATGAAGCCTGTTGGAAATTTGCCTGGAATTGCATTTGATTCGGTTGCATTGGATTAATTTGTACTTCAAAGTGATTTCTTTCAGCATTTCATCCTAAAGTGTTATGTTTGCCGTATATTTTTGTAGATGTCATTTAGAAGATAAAGGAAGTTCCATTCCAAGTTTAAGATTTTTTAGTGTAAATAAATGAATTTTATCAACTGTAAGATGATCGTATGCCTTTTCTTCTTTATTCTGTTAATGTGTTGACTCAGATTTGATAGACTTTTCCCCCCAGCTTTATTGAGATATCATTGACATATAACATTTGAGTTTCGAATGTTAGCCATTGCTGGGGTAAACTCACCTTGGTCACGATGTGTCACCCTTTGACACTGCTAGATGTGGTTTGTTAACACTCTGTTTAGGATTACTGCAGCTGTGTTCCTGGTCAATATAGTGGCCTTTCAATTTCTTTTGAAGACCGTATCAGGTTTTAGTGCCCTACTTATGTCAGCCATGTCAGATGATTTGGGCAGAGTTGCTCTTTTTCTGACTCTCGGATAGTATGTGTAACATTTGAAATTATTTGTTTCTCGAATATTTGGCAGGACTTCTTGATAAATCCATTGGGACCTGAAGTTTCCTTTGTGAGAAGATGGATTTCGTATAAAACATCTTCAATGATTGTAAAACTTTTTAGGTTTTCAAATAATTCTTTAGTCAGTTTTGAATGAATTTCCTATGACTTTGTACATACTTTAAACTTAAGATTTCTATAAGTCGTTTATAATATTTTTTAAAAAATATTTGTATCTATAATTAGTTTCTCTTTTTCATTCAAAATAATTGTTTATTTGTAAGCCGTCTCTTGAAAATCTTGTCAGAGGTTTGTCACTTTTATTACGTTTTTTCAAAGAATAATTTTTTTTTTTTATCTCCTCAGGTATACATTTGTTTTTTCATTAGTTTCTGCTCTTCATTTTTTACTTTCCTTGGATTTAATTTGCTGTTCTTTTTATAGCTTTTTAGGTGGATGCCTAACTCATTCATTTTCACACCTCCCTTTTTTTAAAAAATATGAACATTTAATGCTCTTAATTTTCCCGTACTGTTTTAATTGCCTCCCACCAGTTTTTATGTATATTTTATTTTGTTTCAGTTCAAAGTATTTCCTTATTTCCATTAGTAATTCTTCTTTGTTAATAGATTATTTGGAAGTTTCTTCAATTCTAAGTAGAGTTTTTCTGGTTATCTCTGTTTCTAGTTTCCAACTGTGTTGCCTAGTAGGCACAGAACATGTTCTGTATGAGAGAAGTCTTTTAAATTCTGCTCAGACTTGCTTTCTGGCCTAGTATGTGGCAATTTGCACCAGTCTCCATGTTCTGGGCGTCTTGACAATTTTGTATTCTGTAGTGCAGTGTTTTATGCATGTCCATCAGATTAAGCTTTTTCCTGTCTTGTACAAGTCTTTTCCAACTTTACTGATTTTTTAATCCAATTTTTTAATTCAGTTACGGGTTCATATATTTATTTTTGTAGTTCTGATCACTTTTGCCTTAATCGTTTTGAGTCTCTGTTATTAGGTGCCTAAACATTTTAAATTGTTACATCTTATCGGGAATTGAACCTTTTTCAATTCTGTAGTGACCGTCTTAATCTTCAGTAATGCTTTCTGCCCATTGTGTCTTGTTGACATAGCCACCGCAACTCTCTTTCGTTTAGTTCACAGAGTATATAGCTTTCTATCCTTTTAATTTTTTGCTGTTCTTAGGTTTAGAAGCAACTCTTATAATCATATAGCTAGATTTTATTCATTATTCAATTTGACAAGTTTTTTTCAGACCTAACAGCTTTGCTGTATCATCTGCTTAAAGACCCTTAGTTTGGAGTCTCCCACGTTTCTAGGACAGAAGTCCAGATTCCTTAGTCCACACGTTCTGTTCTTGTACGTCTTCCCAGCCCTGAGGCCCAGCTGATGATACTGTTGAAAAGAACAATGACTAGCCTTTTTGTGTATCTCTTGTGTGCCAGGTCTTTGGCAAACCTTTGGTAGTCATACCTCATTTAAACTTCAGCTGTGCCACGAAGATGGTTATTATCATCCCCATTTTATGGGTGGGAAGGCTGAGCCTCAGGGAGGTCAGCACGCTAGTTGACCGTGGCTCTGTGCTGTGTTCACCTAGGACAACAGTAGACTTCTTGTCAGATGACCCCGTCCCCTGCACTGAGTGTTCCAGGCCCCTCTGCAGTCAGAGCCTCTAGCACAAAGGCCATAGCTCTGCATTTTTAACTCACAGGTTAGGCAATTCTTAAGAGCAGGCAGGTCTAGCAGGAACCAGTCTCCATGCCAGCTGTCTGGTTTGGAACCTATGCTCTTGCCCCATGTACACCGCCTCTGGCAGGAGCAGGCGTTTTGATCGGGGCTGCGTAGGGCTTGTCTCAGCTCTGATCTTGTGTTTGGTGTTCAGATAGTGTTTTAGTAGAGAGCAGGCGATTTAAAAATACCTGCAGTCTGTCCTTCCACAGCAGTTGTTTTATTAGTGGTTCCGGAGAGAAGGAAATGCATGTGTCATTGGTTGTTTACCAGCAGTTCCCTAAGCAGTGAATGTTATTCCAATTTTTTAGTGAGAAAATGGGGCCTCAGCTAAATTTACCCGAGGCCATAGATCTAGTAAGTGGTTGAGCCAAGGTTCAGACCCAGAACCGTCTAACAGTAAAAATAGCCAACACTTACTTAGTGCTTAGTCCGTTACCAGGCTTTGACTTGTATTAAACTCATCTAATCTTCGCAGTGATTCTGTGGAGGACGCCTCTATCATTATTCTGATTTTACAGATCAGCCACTGAAGTACATAGAGGTGAAGTTTCCCAATTTCACACACCTGAGTGGTGGAGCAGGCTGTGAATGCAGGTGTCTGGCTAGTTCCAGCGTCCATTCTTCTCAGCACTGCCCGGGACTAATCTGCCAGCCCTGGACCTGTGTCCTTTTCATTTCTGTGCTATTCAGCATGATGACCTTGATTTTAAAAACCATAACAAATGTATATCTGTTAATGCAAATTTGTGCAAAATCCAGAACATTGCCTCTGGTGTGCTTGACAGTAACTGGATTTCTTGTGCCCTCGTTCAGCTCCCTCGCCATGCAGGGCAGTGCCCGAAGAACGGGCGTCATGACCGATGTGCACCGGCGATTCCTCCAGCTGCTGATGACGCACGGGGTGCTGGAGGAGCGGGACGTGGCGCGCTTGCAGAAGCACTGCTACAAGGTCCATGATAGTAAGTGTCATTTCCCTGTCCCCAGGACACCTGGTGCTGTGTGGTCAGTGCCTAGTGATATTGGTGCGATGCCAGCTCACCGGTCAGCCCACACCCCTACCTGGGCATTCAGGTCTCGTACAATCTCCTGCCAGCCCATCTTTCTCATCTCATCTAAGCAAATCTTACACTTAGTGCAGTGGGTAAGAGCTTGGCCTCTGATGCTTCACACCAGGGCCCCGGCCCCTGCTCCAGCCTGAGTTTCTTCACCTTTACAGGGGGGATAACCAAGTGTACTTGACATGTAGGCTGGATCAGGGGGCTGAGAGACCTGATCCATACCATACACCCGGCACAGGGAACATACTCAGTTGGCTGTTGGTAGCTAGAGGGCAGCTTAGCATGGGTGGTTAACGGCACAGCCTGGAGAACATGCCATCCCTGTGCTGGCTGTGGGCATTTATTAGCAGTTTCTCAGTGGGTCGCTGGGAGGAGTAAATCTGATAATACACATGGAACACTTAGAGATGGGACCTGGTGCATACTGAGTTTTCAGCAACTGGCATATCAATAGAAGCTACAGCACCTATATTGATGGATCTGTAAAGTCAGTATCGGTAGGTCTTGTGAAGTTGAGGGTCAGTGTGGATAGATTTTGTTGAGTGAAAAAGAAAGTTGATAAATTCTACTTGTTGTATGATGTCGTGTTAGTTTTTTGTAAAACTTAATTTTTGTTGTGCACGAATATATACGTCTGCATGTACAAATATAAAAGGGGACTGGAAGGGTATGCTACACACTCATGAGGTGCTTGCCTTTGAGAGAGGAGGTGTGGGATGGGTTTGTCACCAGAAATCAGAGGACACTTCTTCATCCTATTTTATTCTTTTATTGGGGGGAAAAAAAAAGACTTGAAATAAATAATAGCATCAATAGTGTAGTCTGATGGTTGTCGCATCTGATGAATGGGAATATAGGTGTTTTATTTTATGTTTTTTGTATTTCCCTCTATGGTTTTAATTTTCAAAAGAAGAGTGGAAAAAACAGGTGAGCCAAGCTGAGAGGGGTGCCAAGCACCCAGGGGGAGGGACATAAGGGACGGTGTCTCATCTGGAGAATCCCAGAGGGTTGAGGGATATGGGGGTCAGCAGGGAGCGAGGACGACACGTATTTCATGTGAGCAGAAGGCGGCGGCGGAGAGGGCGGTGTTACAGGAGGGGCAGGCTGCGAACCAGTGTCTGCGAGGGGCTCATGGCGACTCTGGGGGCTCGATGGTGCACCTTCATGGGTAACAGCTTCCTGGGTCCCACAGTGAGGAAGCTGTTTAACTTGTATCCAAACTTAATTGACCCACACGTGACATTCTTCGGGAACCCTAGACGAGAGTATGCAGTGTGGGACGAGAGTAAGTTTTTGGTGTGTAGGTTACAGACCATGAAGAGCCCTTAGTATGTACCCCAGAGTGGTGGATTTTTCCTTAATTCTGTAGACAGTGCGGACCTCTAGAAGGACTCGAAGCAGGAGGTGACGCAGTTGCTGCTGTGTCTGAGGCTTCTGGTGGAAACATCTCTGCCCGAATCGCCTACACTGTGATGGGGAGGGAAGAACATACCTGTTGAGCTTGCTTCTCTTGCTCTTTGAAAAGCACAGCAGGGCTTCGGACCTGCCCCTCAGTATTCTCCAGTGAGGGGCGTAGCAGGCTTTTCTTAGTCTTGCATCTGATAACAGATCATCCCACTCACCTGAGCATCTCAAGTAGGTCCTGGTGGTGAGCTTCAGTGTCATTGGGCAAGTTTCTCAGCTCACTGCAGAGAGCCATGTGCTGCCTAAGGACTAAGAGCGAAACTATGCCTTTATTTGACCTCTGAGTAGTTACGCTCCGAGGAAAGCCCCATGGAATGTGTGTAGGAGCTGACGTCCTATTCCGCCTTAGGCATGTACCACTCCTGCTTTTGGGACACAGGGTGGCTGGGCCAGCCAGGGTGAACGCAGTTCGTTGCCCCTGCCCTTCATTGGGAAAAGGGTTGTTCACAAGCCTTATTGTTATTTAGGAGATTTTAAACAAGGAATGATGGAAAGAAATTACTAAATTTAGGTAAATATTTATAAAACTCAATATTACTAATTTCCTATCTCTTGAAGAAATGCCCAGGAAAGGTCCTTTATACGAACTAGAAACTTCTAAGCTTTTAAGAGAATTAGCTTATAAGAGAATTATTACACAAAAGAGGAACTGTGACTCTAATTGCAGGTTCCTGTGGGGTTTGTCCAGTTTGTCAGAGCGTGTCCTGTTCTGGGCTTCAGTGTGGGCTCTCCTCTTCCTGTCACTGGGGGAACAAATTCCCCAAGCCTCCGGCCTGGTGAAGAATTCACATTTTGTTCTGATATCCTTGGGTCCGTGCTTGCAGACATGCATGTGTCATCCAGCACACCTTCCTGAGACTCATGGGGGCCACGCCTCTGTGCTAGGGACTGGTGGCACAGAGCTAAGGCTTTTTTTTTTTTGCTTCACCTTGGGTCATACAGAGTCAGCTGGTGCCAGTAGGGGGCTTCCGATGGAAGTAGGTACAGGAGGCCTGGGGACTAGCGGCTAAGAAGACTCAGCTTCGAGGGTTTCCAGTTTTGACCAACATAGAGTAATGGGGACCGAAACCCACATAATCATCTAACTAGGTGCAGAAGATGAAATCCAGCCTCTCCCTGGTGTGATGCAGCAGACGTCTTACAGAAGACTCAGGAGACCATGTGGAGCAGGCACAAGCAAGGCGGACTGGGCCTGGGCGCTTAGAGCAGGAGAGGCAGACCGACAACTGTCAGCGTGGAGTTTAGAAATCCAGCGTCTATTTCTGCTAAAAACCCTCAGCAAAGTAGCAAAGGAAGGGAACGTCCTTAACTTGATAAAGGGGATCTGTGTGACCCTACGGCCGCCACCACCCTTCACTGTCCTTCACTTAATGCCCCATCATCAGAAGCAAGGCCGGAACGTCCTTTCCCACTGGTCCTGTTCTAACTGGCGCCCCCAGGCAGGAAACAGAGCAGGCACCCGGGTCAGGTCGGGAAGGAGGAGGAGGATGTCTATTCACAGACAGGACCTTCTGTGCAGGCAGTGTGATGGGGCCCTCACAGAAGCCACCGGAACTGAAAAGTGAGTTCAGCGGAGTCGCAGGTACAACGCCCACTTCTCCCCACGGGCTCTCGCACCTGCTGGCTCTTCCCTAGGTTCGCTCGCTCTGTCATGTTGCCAGCTTGCTGCGAGGCGCTGTTCTCCACTCTGGCATTCACATCTTGTAATTAATTATGCTGCGTTGGTAAGTTTTATTTTAACTTTTAGTGGGTTTTAAAAATTTTAAATTACCCACTGTCCTAAGAACAATTTAGATAAAATACAACTTTATATTAAAAAAATTAAGATTTGACACTAATTCAGTGAGCAGAATAAATATGATCTTCAGGCAAAAAACCATTGAACTTAAACACATGTACCGAAAATAGATTGGTGACCACAGTGCCCGGGACACTCGGGTTTGGTAGATACCTTCTGTTGCGTCAGCCCTTTATCTGCCTCGTCTGAGCTTTGTTTTTCTCACACTGGCTTGTGTGACTGTGTTTGCGTTGGTGCTGACTTCGTGGTGTTGGTGTGTATTGCAGACTCACGCACATAAGTAGTCTGCACGCATGAACAGTGAGTCACAGCGATGCTGCTGACATTTGGGTTCGCGTTCCATCTTGTATCTGAGTCCTATTTGTAAGTACCTTCTCTTTCCAAGGAGGACTCAGGGACAATTAGAAGCTGGCTCCAAGTACTTTTCTTCCTGCTTTTGATGATTTCATTGTACATATCTCCTCTTTGGCCGTGACAAACAGTTAATAAGCTTACCACTGTCAGAGCCTGCTTGCCTTTCCAGTTAATCAAAGGGAGCAGGTCACAGACCATTGGGCTGGATTTCTGGTGCTGGGATTTCCTCAGAAAACCCAGAAAGTGTGGTCACCATTTCCAGGAGGAAGAGACACATGAGTGCAGGTGCTGAGATAGGGGCTTTGCACCTGAGTGACAGGAAGATGGCCAGGGAATCGGAGTGTGGAGGGTGTGGCGTGAAGCATGCAGGAGTACAGCCGAGGGTGATGGGAGCCATCAGCGGCTTCCAGGTGGAGCGTGCATATGTATGCACGCCCAGGACCTATTGTCACTGCACCAAACTAAAGGCCACACGTCTGGTTTCTGGTCTGGACCTCGTCACTCACTGGCCCTGTGATCTCCAGTAAGTCCTTAACCTCCACGACCCTTGGGTCTTCTTCTGGAAATAGAGGCTGTGCCGCACCCCGCTCAGTGTGCTGGTTGTTCGTGGGGGCCTGAGGAGACTGCGAGGGGGCAGAACTGTGGTGCCCAGTGCACTGGGGTGCAGTGACATGTCTGCCGCACTCCTGCATGAAGGCAGCTCTCCTCCAGCCCGCTCCCCTCAGCATGTTCCCCAGCCATTGTCACCTCCCATCTCTCCACTTGCATATCTGATTGTCCAGGGATCCATTTCCCCCTGGCAATTGATGCGAAAGCTGTAGGCTGAGAAGTGACCCCTCGCAGGCCTCCTTAGCCAGCACGGGGCTTTGCTGTCTGAGACCTGATGTGCCCAGCGCTCCTGTCTGGTCCAGGGCCCGGGTGACAACTCTCAGTAGGACCAGCTAGCCTGCCCCATCTCTGGCCTGGTCCCCTGGGCTCTTATTTTTTGCTGTTATTTGCCCTGCCTAAAAATAGCATTTCCTATCTGTGATGCCTAGTTCAAAACAGAACTCACTGCTGTTCAGAAGTCAGGGAAGCAGACGTCCTTGCTGCTGGAGGCCCGAGTGTGCCGGCAGCTGTAGGTCACAGTGCCTGCCGGGAAGCAGGGACCCTGATGAGCAGACGAGGTCTGTTGGTTACATTAAAATTCTATTTTAAAAGAAAAGGAGATGATATGTACAGGGCCAGAAAGACAATCTCTCAGAATGACCTGAAGCAGCCCCGCCCCTGAGGAAGTGTCCCGGCTTGTCCAGTGCCGCCCCAGCTTGTCGGCTGCCTGGGGTCCTAACGGAAAGGCGTTTCCCTCAAGGAGAGAGCTGTTGTGTCCATTACTGGGTCTTTGGCTGTCAGTCCAGCTCCTCTCGCAGCTGACCTGTGGCCTGGATGACTGATCTGGCTCGACCTCCTTTGCCATGGGACGGTGGATGCTGGCTAGCGCCCAACTCCATGCATGTCCCTAGAGCACAGCCCTGCGTCTTTAGTACTGCCAGGCGCTGCCCAGACACTCCATCCTTCTCTGTTGGCCGAGTCCCTCTTTGTGACCTGAAGCCACAGTGCCAGGTTCAGAGGGAAGTAGATGTGACTGGTGGGGTCTGGCATAGGGCTGTTCTCACAGAACACTGGCTCTGCTTTGCAGAGGTTGTGACTTCGTGCCAGGAGCTGGGGACCTGGACTCGGGCAGGCCTGGGCTTAATTTCCAAGCTGTGGGAGCTCTGGGCAAGTCATTTAACTTCTCCAAACCTCTCGCATACACAGGTGACATTAAAATGCACCATACTGAGCTACTGTCCTTGCAGTGACCAGCACGTGCTATGGTGAGATGCAGCCACCACTGGCAACTTCAGCACAGCCCAGGAGATGTGCACAGGCTCCACTTACAAGCAGAGGGAACACAGGTGGCGCCTGAGCTCTGCAGACCCTGCCCAGCTCAGACACGGCACTCGGTGTCCTGGGTAGGGTGTCTTCTGGCTCCCTGCGAGGGGGCAGCTGTGGCAGGCCCAGGACCTGTTCCTCTCGTCTCGTAGCTGCTCCTCCCATGTCGCTGCTGCATGTCAGTAGTGTTGAGGGACCAGCCTCTGATCAGCTCTACCTGCAAACTATCTGGTATTTTGACACTTACACGAAGTCTTTTTCTCAGTTGGTGTGGGATCTGAAGGGAGGAGTGATGTAGTTAATTGTTCTAAGTCCCTCAAAGCGGCAGGACCAAGACTGGACGTGAAACCTGGTCTTCATCTTTTGCACTTTGTTTTGGGATGGACTTGGTATTGGGGCTACACGGACTCTTGCACACTGCTTATCCCCCAGCGTGTCCCTGCGGGTTCGCACACTGTGGCCTCTCCACCATGGGCTGCAGGGATGGGGCGGGCAGAGCAGAGAAAGCTAGCTGGTCTGCAGTCTTGATACTGGGAAGCATCAGCCTGGTAACCTTGACACTGGGTGGGCATGTCAGTTTTCTCGTTAGCAAGTGTGAGACCCCGTTATGGCCAATGGAAAGGGATGTGTTGGGAGGCCGCTAGGGAGGGGACACACAGAACTGGCTGATGGTGGGGGGCCAGGCTGGGGAGTGGGCAGGAACCTATGATACAAGGGTGCGAGCAGCACAGCAGCACCTCATGGCCAAAGCCACCCCACCTTCTGCAGCCGTTCCTTGTCCCTTCTTCAGACCGAGAGAGTGTCCAGTACTGGGCTCACGGCTGGCTGACCTGAGATCTGGCCCTTTCAGCCTCTGTACGTCCTTCCCTGATGGACAGATGGTCCTGTCAGTGGTGCCGGCACCCTTGTCTCCAGGCGGTGTGCCTCCTGTGGCTAGGGCAGTGTAGGGGTGGGCAGCACACAGGTGAGAGCACAGCTGCGGCAGCCAGGTGCTGCCTGTGGGCTTGGTGCCATGCTGCGGGTGCCGTGCTGCGGGTGCCATGCTGCGGGTGCCATGCTGCAGGTGCCATGCTGCAGGTGCCATGCTGCGGGTGCCAGCCCTGTCTGCATCCAGGAGGCAGATGCTGGCGCCTGCCCTGCATGGCTGCTGGCCGGGTCGGTGAACCGTGGTATGAAAAGCGCTGGGAACAGTCTCTGCCGTGGGGACCACCGAGCGCTGTTCCTTGCTGTTGCACCCTGGGGTTCAGTACCCCCCAGCCTGTGAGTGTCCAGTCAGTGTCTGCTGTCGATATGGGAGCGGGGAATGGAGATACACCTGACGTGTGCGTGAGGACACGTGGGTGCGGAGGCCTCGTGGGGGAGCTGGGATGCTGTGTGCACTGGGTACTTCCTGTAGGCTCCGGCCTAGGGGTGTGACTGGGAAGCTGGCTGGGGCTGCGAGCACAGATGGACCACAGTCGGCTCAGATGCCACCTCCCGGGCCCAGGCCTTTTGCATCACAGCACACTCTTCTCTGAGCCGTCCAGAAGGAAGCCCCGGGTGCTGGCCGCCTCCCATTGCCGGTCTGCCGTCCCCAGTTCAGGCTGATGCACTGGAAGCAGCTAGTGTTTGACGATCTCCCTCCTCACCCCAGACAGCGCTCCAGTGGAGGAGCTGGAGGCCTTCATCAACAACATCAACAGTGTCTTGGAGTCCTTGTACATCGAGATCAAGAAAGGGGTCACCGAGGATGATGGGAGGCCCATCTACGCACTGGTAAGTGCCAGACAGAGCCTTCTAGTGTGTTTGTGAGGAATGGTGGCTGTGCCCTTGCTAGGGAGAGTGGAGAAGAACCCCTGGACAAGGACTCTGAGCCTAGCCCACCGCCCTGGTTACCGTGCTCCCAGCGGCCTCTGCGGCCTGCAGTCTGCAGTCCCCTGCCATTACTGGGCACCAGAACCTGTGCCTGGCTGCACCCCGTGGCCCCAGCATGTGCTGGGCTTTGTTTTGTTTGTTGACAGTTCTCTGCAAATGTTTTGAGTACTAAGATGAAAGGGATAAGATGCTTCTCATTTGGAACAGGACAAAAAGAAGCTGAGAAAAGAAAAAAATGTGTGGGGGCAGGAGGATTGAGACCCACGTGTGGCCCCTTGTTGCTGTCCAACTGTCCGTCCCAGCCAGGGGTGGGGGTGACATAGAGCGGGAGCGGCTGACAGCTCCATCCTTGGCCCCTCAGGGCTGATCAGGCCCAGGAATCCAGTCACACACAGAGGGCTCCAGCCTGGGACTCCCCAAGCTCTGCTCCAGGGAAAGGGGGTAGTGTGGGTGCTACAGATAACTGGGAACGCTGCTTAAACGGGTGAATCCGATGTGTTTACTGCCAGGCTTCTCGGTGCTTGTGCATTTGATGCTCCATTACCATGCAGGCAGGTTTCCCAAATTTATCTAGGTTTGGAAAATATTGCACAACTTTTGGAGTTCTCAAATCTCTGAGAATTAGACATGTTGACTGAGCTAAAGGTTTAAGTCTGTAATACAAGACTGGTTACAGATCTGTCCCTGCATCCCTCAGCGCCTGGACACCGGTGCTTGGTGACTGGCGAGGGGGCGGGGCGGGGGGGAGGGAGAGCCAACAGTGAATTACTGATGGACGAAGGGCACAGGCTGACTGTCACACTGACCTACTTTTTAGGTGAATCTTGCAACGACTCCAATTTCCAAAATGGCCTCAGATTTTGCAGAGAATGAGCTGGATCTGTTTAGAAAGGCAGTAAGTACCGTTAAGTCCCATCGGCCAAGCTTCTTAATGGGGTATTTTGTCTTCATCTTCAGTCTTGGAGGGTTGTCCCTGCAGCTTGAGTAAGCCCTGTGCTGGGTGACATCACCGAGCGCCTCACCCAGATCCACATTGCCCTGTGACAGATGGGGTGGTCCGTGCAGCAGCCTGGAGAAGTGGGGCTGGCCAAGCGTGACTCCTGACCTGCTTTGCAGCAGGCCTCGTGGGTGTGCCATGCAGGTGGACCAGCGTTCCTGCAGGGTACTTGCAGTCTGGTTTGGGGCTGCAGCAAGGGTGTCACCTGGGAGCTTGCTAGGGAGACTGTCGAGTTTGATTCTGGGCTTCAACATGGTGCCCACTGGACCACTGGCACCTTTACATTCGAGCAGCACTGCTCTGCCTACCGTGCTTCAGAGCTGTTGGCTCAGCCCTTTGTTCATTCACCTGGCTGAGTGACAGTGGTCTCAGCCCTGGAGGTACGTTCTCACAACTGGGTAGGCAAAGATAACCCTGACTCTTGGCCTCGCAGCAGGCCTGTCAGACCGGTCTGTGAGGACAGTCCTAGAATCATTGTGATGTTATAGGAGTGACCGCTGAGTCAGACGGACTGGACATGTTTGTGGCCCTGATGCATGCATTGAATGATTAGACTATGTCCCCAGACGTCATAGCAGTGTGCAGTTCTGCCTGTGACATAGTGGTTTTACTGCCTCCACCAGAATTGGTATTATTGCCTAAAATGTGGGTTTGTCAGTTTAGTAGATGAACGTGACACCTGCTGTTTCTTTCAGTTGGAACTGATTATTGACTCAGAAACTGGCTTTGCCTCTTCCACAAATATTTTGAACTTGGTTGATCAGCTTAAAGGCAAGAAGATGAGGAAGAAGGAAGCTGAGCACGTGCTGCAGAAGTTCACGCAGAACAAATGGCTGATTGAGGTACGTTGTCCCTTCATTCCCCAGCTTGGCCCTCTTTTTAGAACGAATGATAATTTTTCCAAAGCCATATTGTACCTAGCTGATGTCCATTGAGCCTTTCAGGTCTCGTCTCTGCTTTGATGCCCACAGTGACCCTGTGAGGAGGATTTGCAGCCTCCTGTCACTCACGTGGCCTGTCCAGGGAGCCCCTGCGGAGTAGCAGAGTCGGGGCTGTGCCACGTTGGTGGGCTCCAGGATGCGAGGCAGTGCCGTGAGACCAGGGCCCAAGTCCCAGCCTGGTGACCTCGCGTGCCGCGTCTGAGAGGGAAGCAGCGGGCCAGGGCTGCGTGGTGTGCGTCAGGTGCCTGGGGCTGGGGTCCCAGAGGCAACGTCGTGGTTGCTCTGTCACCGTGTCACTGTGGACAGGCTTGCAGAGGACTGGACATCTGTGAATGGACCAGAGTTTCTGCAGGCCCCGTGTCTGGCTCTACCGACTGGGGCGGAGCATCTGTTCATGAAAGGGCACTCAGTTCCCGAGAGTCTTGACCACACAAGCTCAGCTCTGCCCACTTTGCCACCAGCTTCCCCTCCGAGTATGTGTCTGCAGGACGTGCCCAGGCAGGAGGCTGGGGGAATTTGTTCCCCCAGTGACAGGAAGAGGAGAGCCCAAACCGAAGCCCAGAACAGGACATGCTCTGACAAACTGAACAAACCCCACGGGAACCTGCAATTAGAGTCACAGTTCCTCCTTTGTGTCATAATTCTCTTAGAAGATAAATATGTTTCCAGTTGATAAAAGGGGCCTTTCCTGGGCATCTCTTCAAAAGACAGGAGACTAGTAATAGTGGGTTTTATAAGTATTTACCTAAATTTAGATAATTTTTTTCCCATCATTCCTTGTTTAAAATCTCCCAAATGACAATAAGACTTACAGCCTTGTTTCTCCAGTGAAGGACAAGGGCAGGAGCCTGGTGCAGGGTGGTGCATAACTGTCAGAAGTGTGGGCCACCGCTCTCACTGGTAGAAGTTAGTGAACAGAAGTGAAGGGCACTTGGGGTAGCTCCATCTCCTGGCACGGTGCCTCCCTGCTCCCGTCACGGAAGAAGGTCATGCGTCACAAAAACGGCTAAGAGGTTCACATCTCAGTTCAATGCTTGACTTTGCTGAACCAAAACAAACTTAC